CTGAATTCTCCCCGTAAGCATTACACGACTATCATTTGTGTGGGTGACAGAATTGAGAGGTTTTATTCGTATTTTCAGGGAGTCTGACTTGTTTTTGCAGATGTGACGAGAGTAAATAAGCTCATAGACAGGTGAAGAAATACATTCTTGTGCTTGAAGTCCAGAGCTAAACCAGTCTCATTATAATTTGGTCTCAGAGTAGGAGGCTAATTATTGTAGCCAGCTATGGATGTTGGCGTAATAGTGGCGAGATGGAGAGTGCACGCCTCAGAGAGTGCGACTGTTTACAGAGGCTGGCTGTTTGTGAGTGATTGTGTGTGTATGTGTGTCTGTGTGTTTGTGGGCGTATGGTAAGATATTGTATAAATCACAAACCCAGCTGTGTCATTTGTATGTGGGTTACTTTGTGTTGCTTTTCATACGTATATTCTTCTACAAACAGAACAATAAAAACAAAAATAAACATTAAGCCACTGCACTCACTAAAATGCATTTCACAAACACAACAGTCATTCCCAACTCACTGTGTGGTCAGCGTAACGGCGTGATCAAAGGCGGGTGAGCTGTGCATGTTACTTACTCAGCTCTTTGGCATTGCCAAGTGGATCACAGATCGCCTATGAGTCAAACACCACCTGAGTGAACAAATGGAGACATGCGCGTGTGTGACGAAGCCTTCAAGTCTCTGAACAGGCTCAACTAAGAGCGTATTCAACTTTGTTTTCATAACCAGTTAGGCCTTCAAGAGCATTATCTGTATAAAACCTAAACGCATACATTGGACACACTGCATTGAGCGTTAGCAATATAGTGCTTAAAAACAGATATTGTTTATGATATATATGGAGTATTATCAATATAATGCTCAAAGGCATAATTGTATTGTATATTACAGTACATGACTAGCAAACACAGCCGCATAGCTGCACAACAGCTACACACGTAAAAATATTTTTATTAAAACACAAATAAGTGGACTTAATTGCAGGAAATATGTGTTTCAATGGTGACAGTGCCTAAGGTTAATTTTCATGCTTTTGGACACATATACAGTGGGATCTAATTGCAAATCTCAAAAGAGTGGGATCTAACTGCTCACCATGTGGCCATGAGGGACAGGCATGCAGTCTCACTTCCTGCACCAAAATGTAGTAGTAGTAACATGAAAACATGGGATTGCTTCTTTTGAACAGTTTTTTGCTATTTAAAATTAAACTCATCATAAATCTAAATCTTCTATCTTTAAAAAGAAATGAAAAACATTTTTAAAAACAATATTGGAAAAATGTACAAAAAAAAAATAAGTAGGTATTATTTTTACAAGTATAAACTTGTGGAACAGCCACCTCCCAATAAAAATACCCTATAAATGATGATTTTGTATATATTTAGCTTATTACTATCTCTATTAATGCCTTGATTTGAAATAGATCATAATGTAATCCTTGTAAAAATCTATGATCTGAATACTTTTTACGTTGTTTTTTTTTTGCTGTGAGACCACAGTTTGAACTAATTCAGTAGAGTCGGTAAACCGATGAGTGGTCCATATAGCAGAGGTGCTGACTCGAGTAATATGACTTCGACTGAAGTTATACTCAGGTCATTAATTTGGTGACTTGAGACTCGACAAAATTAAAAAAAGACCTGTGATTCGACTTTGACTTGAAGACTGTTGACTCAGACTTTCACATGGACTTGAGCCTTATGAATCGGAAAGACTCAAGACCTTAAAAGGAAGAAATGTGGAGAGGCATCTAGCTATCTACAGGACTCTCTGCAGTACGTTAGCTTTCATGTTAATGAATTCGTTTCCTGGCGTAAGCAGTACTTGCAACTTGTTTCCACCTCCTGTATGTTGAGCATTATCCATATAGGGCTCAAAAGAATAAGTAGATTATCCATCCATCCATCCATCATCTAAACCGCTTATCCTTCTGGGTCGCGGTGGGGTGCTGGAGCCTATCCCAGCTGTCATTGGGCGGAAGGCAGGATACACCCTGGACAGGTCGCCAGTCCGTCGCAAGGGGAGACAGACAAACATACACATTCACACACTCACTCACACCTAGGGGCAATTTTAGCACGTCCAATTGGCCTGACTGCATGTTTTTGGACTGTGGGAGGAAACCGGAGTACCCGGAGGAAACCCACGCAGACACGGGGAGAACATGCAAACTCCGCACAGAAACGACCCTGGTCGCCCGGCTGGGAATCGAACCCAGGCCCTTCTTGCTGTGAGGCAACAGCGCTACCCACTGCGCCACCGTGCCACCTAAGTAGATTATGTGGTGACAAATTAAGGAAACAAACATGAAATGTTAAATATGGTTTACACATTTTCATCAAACCATTCAGTGATCCCTCTTGGCCAGTGGATTGGGCACTGTCATCCTGGAAGAGACCATTTGCGCCAGGTTAGAAATCATTATAGAATAAAGATCATCAGTCAGCATAACTTGATATTGATTTGTCATGATCCGTCCCACTAAAGAGACAAGTGGACTCAAGCCATGCCAGCAAAATGCCCACCAGCATAACAGAGCCATGGCACTGTCTCACTGTAGGGGTCAAGTCATTCAGGTCTGTACCATTGTCTCATGCACTTGCCCACTTGTGGAAAATGCAGTGAAGGATGACTCATCATTTCTTGCCACATCTCTGTAGACCAGTTTCTGTTTTTACACCACTGAACTCCTAAATGTAGATTCGTCTTTGGAATTAGGGGTTTGTTAATTTACCCTCTGTATGTAGATGTGGACAGACTGTTCTGGCTAACACAATCTGTTCACACCTTGCATTGATATTCTCAGTCACATGAGGACCATTTACTCTTCAGTTTTTTGCTTACATATTGCATTAATGTACCAACATCATGGTCAATGAATGTTCGGGCGCAGTTTCCATCCCTACTTTCCCTACTTAGGTCTTTCCCCAGATGCCGCTTTAGCGTTATGTTTCTTTTCCTCCTTGTTTTATAGTTTCCCTTTTATTCCTCATTCGTCTGTATATAGAATATTGAACATTATCAGCAGCTTAAAGGTGTATATAGTATAGTGAGGATTATCAGTAAGAAGTTCACACACAGCTGAAGGCAATTCATGTTTTAGTGTTATAGTTTTATTCCTATCCTACAATCCTCTTCCTCACAGTCATCCTCCTCCTCTCTCCATCTGCTGCTGTGTGAGTGATGTGAGTGATGAGTTGTTTGTCGTGTGTGGTTGGGGACAGATGGAGTCAGAGAGCCTTAAAGCACATTCCATTGTGTTACATTTTGAATTGCTACTGATAACACCAGTTATTGTGGCTATGTAAGTACATTATATGGATGTATATCTTTTGAGTTTAAGGCTAAGAAAGATGATTTCTAAATGTGTACATCCTGTTATTTCTTTCTCTGTTTCTAGCCTCTCTCTCAGGTGGTTGTCTACATGTAGCTTAGCGTAACACGTTAATGTCACCCCTGCATCTGTTCTGCTTTGCTCTGTTCTGCTGCTGTCAGAGTGATTACTCTCTGAGCTTTGAAGTCAAAGAGTACAACTTTCCTACATATCACTAAGGTTCAGTTAGAGAGAACTAGAGACAGCGAGAGAGAGAGTGCACAAGGCAGAGTAAGAGTAAATAGGATTCCAGTAGGTTTGATGGCTGATAGGCTACGATCTGCCCTTTTCACTGGAAGTATTGTCAATATAATCTCTTCCACCCGTGTGTTGTTGGCTGGTGATGAGAGAATCGTATTAACCTTTACACCATCTGATTATTATTGAGGAACTCGTATCAGATTGTGCTGGCCTTGTGCCACCGATACCTCTGCCGCATGTGTATTCATGTGTGAATGTGTTCTTTCTTATGATTAAAATCACTGAATGTAAACCTGCCCTATCAATTCTCATTGTTTTGTGTAGTAAACGAATCAGGTAACAGCCTGCAAGGTCACAGGTGAATGTCAATGCTAATACACAGAGTAGATTAACAAATTGTGTGTGCTTTGCGACTGATCGGAAGTGTTTTTTTTGTGTGTGTGTGTGAGAGAGAGACTTTCCAATGCAGCTTGTCTCAAAGTAATTTACAGTAGCAGTTGTGGCAGTGGAGAGCCATTGTATATGCTGATCTGGCTCCAGTTAAGTTTTGTAATGAGATCAGATATATATTAATTAGTGTTGCTAATTAAGATGAATTAAGTAGCTCCCTTAATGAAGTGGCTCCGCTTTAATCAATTACTGTCGGAAAAAGGCTTTTACCATGTTGATAAACACATTAATGTATGCCGTATGTCTCACAAACATTATATTTTATTACAAAGAGAACGGTCAAAACCTCTCTGTCTCAGAGAGCTAATTGCCACTCCAGAGGAGGCTGTCACTCCCTCCTAGAGCTGAATGCCTCTGGAGCTCTGCCCCAACCTACTTTATCTTTTCTGTGCTTTACTGAAAACATAACCAGCATCTCATTTTAAAGTATTAGTTCAAATGTACACAATTTTACCCTCACCCAAAATGTATGATCAGTCAAGACAGTAAGTAATCTTAAGTAATCTTAAATAGTCTTTCTTATGTGATTTCTGTCTGTATGACATGCTTAGACCTAAAAATTAGGTAAGGACTAAATAAGCCTTAAAGATGGCTGCTATTAGTGTTTTACCTACACTTTCAGAAAAAAAGGTGCTAAACTGTCACTGGGGTTGTACCCCTACTGTCACAACGAAAAAAGTACCTGCACAGAACCTTTTTTTCTGACAGTGTAATGCATTTTTGTTCATTTTTATAGATAACAGTATATCACACAGTGCAACACACCACATAAGCAAGTCTATTTGAGGTTATTTAAGAACACATGGTTTGAGGCAAGTGTGTAATGATTTAGGATGATGTTGCTAATAGATGTACATACGCTTCCATAAGTTAGTCTTGTAGCTGAGGCTTAAAACTAAAAAAGAAAACTTTGAACACCAAACATGTCTCATGTTCTCATGTTCATGAGTTCTCCTCTTCCTCTGGTAGGTTCTGCCTTCATGATGGTGAACACGTCAGGCCGTTTCGCTGGACAGAAAGCTCTGCTCCTGAGCCCTCAGCTCAAAGAAAATGACACACACTGTGTCATCTTCCAATATTTTGTGTCAGGAAGGGAGGGTGGCAGCCCTGGGTACCTCAACATCTACATAAAGGAGAATAACAGTCCCATGGGCCTGCCTGTGTGGAACACCTCAGGACCTGTCAGTCGGAGCTGGACCCATGTAGAACTTGCCATCAGCACCTACTGGCCCAACTTCTACCAGGTAAGGATTGGATCAGTGAGGGTGATCATGGGTAATATAATGCTGGCTGATACTTATTCCAGTTTTAGACATAGATTGATCACTATGAAGGTTGAATGGTTGTGCTCATTGTATTGGATTCATGTACAAATTCATCTTTAATACAAGCTCCATACCTAAAAAGTTGCACATGAACCTTCGAAACAATCCTGATTTATTATTAACTTTTAACCTTCTGTCATGGCAGAGTAAAGGGTTGCTTTAGTGGTGGATAATTCATATTTTTCTAAATGCAGCAACCATTTAGTAGTCATTGATTAGGCCATAGGTATTTGCTTTCATCTGTAACTGTAAGTTGGATTATATACATGTTTTTATATTGGGGGATGATACCAAAGTAGATCATGCTGGCTAACTAACAAGCTAACTGTGTTTCTGACTATAAAATCTTCAACACAAAGACTTTAAATGCAAGTGGTACTTTAATGTGCTAAGTACTTTAACCCTTTAAACCTGTCTGTTTCAACCTTTCTCCTTTCAAAAACGATTTCTCAATGCTGTTGATGTATTTATTTGACAGGTAAAGTGCATGATCTGACGGTCAAAATATGTAGATTTTTATTCTGTTTGTCTCATAAGCTACATTTTTGAACAAGAAAACACACATCAGTCACATTTTATGGTTACTCTGCTTAAACAAATCAATAATACATGTTTACCAATCTGAATTGCGACTGCGCTCTGAGTGAAAAAATCACAGTGCATGCGACAATAAAGGAAGCCTTATGCATCTTTTATGGTGATAGAAACACTGTAGCACACAGAAAGTGCAGATTCTTCCTGCTGATACCTTTAAATATGAGCAACATGGACATGCACATGCTGTAGCCCCTCTGGCAGCAGATTTAAACAAGTTAAGGGGACCACTGGCAAAATCTCAAAATGGATTACTGACTAGATGCTTGGTCCATTAGGGTTCTTACTGATCCAATATTTGTGTTTTCATAGATAAAACTGCTAAAAATGTAGGTAAGTTATGCTAGACTGCTAATTAATGCTACAGCAAAATAATTACAAATTTCTGTTAAACTTAAGAATAACTAGTTTACATTGTAGCCCAAGTAGATACTTAATAATAAGTCTAATAAGCTTTAGGATGTAGTAAGTCTGGGATTTTAAAGGGGTTAAGCCAGAAGTAGCACAGCACGGCTGGTAAAGCAGAACGTTTCCACAGTGCTTTCATTTTCACACCAGCCAAGATTTGTGAGTGAAAATGTCATGGGAGTGTATTTTGTACTTGAAATAAATAGACTTAGAATGTAACAGCTGCACATTCACATTTTAAATGGCGAAAACTGTTGAGACACTTAAAACAGCTGAAATTCTGGGGATGCAGATTTTATTGCGGAAGTTTCCCTTTAAAATAGTTCCGCATTCACTGCTTGTTAACTGAAAACACTCCTCAGTGCTGCAAGTTGAGGATAATGTCCGTTTATGGCACCTCTACTACAGTGATTTAAATAAAGTGCAAACATTTAATTGATTATTTCCCGTGATCTACTATTAAAACAGATTATTTGAGATGGATCAGGAAATCCGTATTTATAACTTAAGCATCACATTTTCTAAAGTGCATGTAGTTGTAATGTGAGCTTAATATGTATGCAATGGAGTATGGTTTCATAATCAAATACATGTAGCTCTCTACATACCCTCTAGCTCTCCTTCCCTGTTTTCACCTGTCTCACCTCTCCCCTCTCGCTCTCTCTTACTCTGTATCTCTCTCCACACCCCTGTCACATTTATTCTCCCATTTTCCCCCCTTTCATTCATTCTTGTTCCCTCTCTCGTTCACTCTCTCCCTCTCTCTCTCTCTCTCTCTATCTATTTCTCTCTCTCACACACACAAAATAATGAACCTTACCCTTCCTGCTGTATTAGAAAAAAAAAATCATTTTCTCCCTGTCCGGTGGTTCATTTTCACGTGTGGCGGGACTGCGCTGGGGTCCAGAGAAAGGAGGCTGATTTCACACATGCCTGGTTATTAGTCGTCCTCTCTCCAGGGTGCACGAGGGGGTCCGGTGTTAATTGGCAGAGCGAGACCTCCTCACCTCACGAAGGGAAGTGCTGCCTTGCCGAATTAGCCCATTAGAACCGGCATTGCTAGAGCAGACAGATGGGTTCCGATGAGACATGGCTGGTACACTCATAACACATGAGTCTCATTAGCAACACATGCTCATTCATTGATAATAATAACTGTATTATGATTTTATTACACTTCAAGTTGGGGCATTACGAAATGCATATTAATATTCTTTTAATTTATACAGGGATTGTGAGACTATACCCACTATGAATGGAATACAGTTTGGTTTTATGTGAGAGAAAATGATTTGAAGATCACATATGCTGACAAATTAGAATTGTTGTCTTTGTTCTATTATACTCTGTATTAGGGGTGGGAATCTTTAGGCACCTCACGATTCGATTCGATTACAATTCAAGGACTGCGATGCAATTATGAAACGCTTATCGATGCATCTTTTTTTTTCTATACATGATTTCTATTTTCTTACTGTCTGAGGACTTGGAACTTTTAAAGCAAATTATTTGTAATGATTTTTTTATTTGTAATGGTTTTGGTCTCGTTGTAGAGAGTTGGGGGGTTCCGCTGTGTCATTAAAATATCTTCGAGACGGGACGTGCGCAACATAACGCGAAAGCCCTGTTTCTCAATGACTGAGAATTGGCGTGCAGACTGCAGGTCACCTAGCAACAAGGTTTCGCCTGGCTAGTTGCGAACGAAAAGGAAAAGAGAAAGACAGACGAACATTTGGAGACGAATAGACTTATTCGCATTTATAAGCAGCGCAGCTGGTTTCCTGATATGTTAAATCTGCAACGAGAGACTGTCAAACACTAAGAAGTTGCGAAGATGAAGTCGCTTCTCTTTTTAATTTTCCCGGTCCACCTTAAACGGTGCTGCATTTACATTTGGCGCCTGTCAGAATTTAAGGTGGAACGGGAAAGTACAGCAAGAAGATGGAGAATGAGAAGCGACTTCAGCCTCATAAAACAGCCGAAAGCTGAAAGACATTTTACAAGAAACTATTCAACTTCTGAGGAAAAGTTTTCTGGCGGAGATGGAAGAAAAGTGGCTATAGCTAAAGCTTAAAGCAGAGTAGAGTAAGTCTGCGTTTTCTTTTATATTGTTTAGTCTATACTAGGACATTATCACATACTGAGACAAACTGGACATTAAATGTTGTGGCTCCCAAGGTGGTTTGATTTTTGTTGAAAGGACAAAATGCATAAATCAAAGAACAAACTCTTTCATTCAAAACAAAAATTGAGGAAAATTAAGATTTGAATGAGATGGGCACTTTAATAATAATTTCACCAGGTGCTGCAGACAACTTTAGACAAAAACATAACAGCACAGTGAATATTGACATTACTTTTTTACTTCTGTATCCAAAATGTATAGTATTATGGTGCAAAAACCACACTGCGTATCGTATTGTGAAATGTGTGTATTGTTACAGCCCTATTATAAAGCCTGCGTGGGCAGAATACAGTAACACAGCAGAGGGCTCTGACTTGAAGAAGCTTATTCTGTTAATAATTCTATATCATGCCACTGGTATGACTTCAGTTCTCATTGTGTATGGTATGTGCAGCTAATAAATTATTTAAGTGTTTCTAATGCTATTAATACTTCATGTGAGCTTTATATATCTGCAGATGACTTTGGAAATATTAAAACAATTTTTCCTAGTCCACCAGCAGTTCAGGGAGATAAAATAGTCAACACAAAGAGTCAGTTATGTTGCAGATATTATGTTTTGATTCAGTTTTGAGTGTTGATAATGTTTTGAGCTCTTATTGAGGATGATAATATAAAGCAGGGCCCTGGAGCTGTACTCAGTTGTCTTCTCATGATAACCCGACTATTCTTCATTACACAAAAAAGGATCAGCAGATATAATTTTGTCCACATAATAACAAGGGTAATCTTGAGGTTAAGCTACAGCTCTGTCGCAATCTGGGCTCCAAACCGATTCGAGGAACAGAATTTTGTATAATTGTAAACCCTCTTAATTGTTCTAGAACAGAAACATTCATTTGAAGTCTGTCTTACCAGCTAAGGTTCATTTTTTGTTCTGTGTATCCCAGAACCTAACAAGAACCTGAACTGTATTATTATTTGTATATATTTCTTATCTCCACACTCCTAAATGCCTTTGGATAATTTTAACCAGCTAGGCTTTGTAGTCAAGTTCTTAAAAAAACAAATGTACTCAACTTTGCAAACATACAATAGATGGCCAAAGGTATGTGGAAACCTGACAATCAGACCTATATGTGCTTGTTAGACATCCCATTCCAAAACCATGAGCATTATGGCCCTCAGTCATGCTGGAACAGGAAAAGATCTTCCCTAAACTGTTGCCATAAAGTTGTGTATAATTGTCTGAAATGTCTTTGTAGGCACTTAGCATTTCAGTAGGTAGCGTTTTCCTGGGATCTAACAATCCCAGATTCATCCGTTAGACTGCCAGATAATAAAGTGTGGTTCATCACTCCAGAGAACAGTTTTCCATCTCGCCGGAGTCCAATGACAGCGTGCTTTACACCACTCTAGCTGATGCTTAGCATTGCACATAGTGATCTTTCATGAAGCTTCCAACACACAGTTCTTGTGCTGATTTTGTTTCCAAAGGCAGTTTGGAACTCTGTAATGAGTGATGTAACTGAGTGTAGGCGATTTTTAGTTCACCATGGCAGATAAAGCAGGGCATTAATTTCACAAACTGACTTGGGGCAGAGGTGGCATTCTGTGGCAGTGTCATGTTTAAAGCCACTGTCTATAGATATATTGCATGGCTATGTGCTTGATTTTGTGCCAATTTTAGTTTTGCTCTAGTAACAAGTGTTGGTGTTGGCACGCAAGAACAGAAACATTAAGATGTCTGTTCTGCTCAGATTGAACTGATTTATTTTTTATTCTGTTTCTA